TGGAGGTCAGAAGAGGGCTTCGGATTCCCCTGGAACTGGAGTTAAGGACAGTTCATAGCCTCCATGTGGGTGCTGGGAATCAAACCCTGGTCCTCTGAAAGAGCAGTCAGTGCTCTTAACCACTAAGCCATCTCTCCAGCCCCTCACCCTAGATTTTAAAGGTTTACCCCATTCCAGCCCCACCAAGCTTTTCTTTCTTCTTCAGTCACAATTCTGTCAATCACTTCCTGGAAGGACCAGTTTGTGCTTGCCAGCCCAACTCCCTCACCGCAATCTCCAGTTAGCCCTGTACCCTCTGGCTGCCACATTCACCTATCCAAATAAATTATTTCTTTTTAAAAATATTTTGTTATTCTTATTTTATGTGTATGAGTGTATTGCCTGCATGTGTGTAAGTGCACCCATGTTGTCAGGTCAGAAGAGGACGTTGTTCCCCTGGATCTAGAGTTATAGATCACTGTCAGTCACTGTGTGGACACATTTCATGCCTGACTTGTTTCTCTGGAACAGAGTTATTTAAACTTACTGGGGGATCCTATGACAGGAGAACTGAAAATACCTTGGCACATATTTGTTGAATGAACAAATAATTTAATATTGGTTTCATAGTTCCTCAATTTTCAAATAACTCAGCATGATAAATCTTTATCAAAACACTAAATTCACGAGTTTCCCTAGACATCACAACATATATCATGGGTCTTAACTTCTTTTCACTCTTTCAATTCTTTGTACAACGTATCTCTGATATCACCTTGTGTTATAAAAGAGAACTGCTGGGGAAGAGCCCATGCTTGGTAGAGGGCCATTGGGGGAGTTTTCCTGGTGGCTTAACCCTTGAACAAAGCTCTTAGTTTTTAGGGTGATTTTGTTAGCTCAGCGATCTTATGAGATTCCTTCCAACTTAAATCTGTCAGCTTGGTTTCTTCTGTTGTTTATAACCAGGAACCCCAACACTCTCATAAGACATTGTTACTTGTGGGTAGCAGAAGGTATGGTTCAGGGAATCAAGTTAACAAGGTCTTGTGTTCAAAAGCTACCTGTTAATGAAGGAGACTTATAAGAAAGGAACCAGTTACAAGGCATATAACACTTTAATGACAAGAGTCTCACCCACTGGCATGGTGGGTGGCTCTTGAGAAGCTTTTAAGAGAAAGTAGTGGATCTTTATTGTTCTGTTTTTTTTTTTAAAAAAAAAACTGTATTACATTTATTTATTTATTTATCTATTTATTATTTATTTATGGGACTTGTGCATGCCAGAGTACATGGATAAGGGTTCAAGGACAACTTGGGGAGTTAGTTCTTGCCTTCCACCATGTCAGAGCTGGGGATCAAACCCAGGTCATCAGGTTTGGCTGCACATGCCTTTACCCACTGAGCCATTTTGCCACCCTGAGAGGTAGTGTTTACATTGCTCTTAAAGCTAAGCGGGATCATCCAGGTGAGGGGGATGTATAAGTAACTCAAGAGACAACTGTGACATGAGGGAAGGTGTTTCTGGGTACAAGCTGGTTGGGAGCAGGACCAGGTTGGGAAATTTCAAGTAAATTAAGAAGTCAAGGGTACAGAAGGGATGTGGGGCTGTTGGAAGAGATAGCTACCAAGTCTGTGGGAAGCCCATACCTGGGAGCTTTCTCTCCAAAGAAAGAGAGACTTAGAGAAGAATCTTCAGCAAGTGAGCGATGCCAGCACATCGTGTTTAAAAAGCATGCTCTGGAAATTTACGTCATGCTAATTAGTAGAGGTGATAAACATTACCATTGAAATCTACCCAATGATTTTATAGACATACACAGGCACCAAGGATCCAAGTGCAACCAATTATGACTAGTAATAATCAGATAAATACAGATTAGAGATGTAT